TGTGTTAGTGCCTTCTAATGACTGCCTTAAATCCATCTGTTGTCCTCTTTTCCCTATTAACACTAATGGGGGTCTAGACAGGAATAAAATATCACATGTGTTGTGTTAACAGACCCTCCAATTTGTAACATTCATATGATTCCTTAGGATAAGACCTATGCAAGAATAATGACACTTAAAATCTAACCTGGCACAGCATTATAAACATTTCATTGTATATATGTATACATGCTTCCTAACCTATTTTTTCTAGGCTTAACAGAATTTTATTTCTTTCACACTTTATAATCAAATATATGTTGGGTAGCTCTTTGTTTCTTATTTTTCTAAGCTTATATTTATTGAGTGTTCATTCTGTAATATATATCTATTTTAGATTTTACCACAACCTGGTAAGTGTACTCCTGTTTCACATCTGATGAACCTGAGGCTTGGAGAGATTCAGGATATAAGTGATAGAATGAGTTTTGAGGTTCAGAATTGGAACTCAGTAGTCTGCCTTCAAAGTCAACCACAACTAGAGCAATTAATTTTTACCATCACTGGCAAGGACCTTTATGTTCTGTTGGGTTTGAAAAGAGTGAAAGATAAGTATATGGGCTAAGGCCGGATCAGTTACTGAACATCAAAGTGTCTTCTTTTGGGTTAGGCTCTGCTCAGGTGACAAAGGAATTGAAGGTACACCTTTGGCCTTGTTACCAAGATTGGATTTACACATGAGAGAGCAACACATAAAATGTACGGAATAGTGTTAAGGATGCTTGTAGAACAACCCCTACCATTACCAGACCCCTAAGTGATCCCTGACCTGGGCCTTAGGAGCTACCATTTTGAGAGGTGTCCCTGGCTAGTTTACCATGTTGGAATACAGAACACAGGTTTTGATAGGAATCATTAAAAGCAATATTATAAAATTTCATGTACAGAACTTAATAGAGAATAATACAACCCCATATACCTACCAGTCAGCTTTATCAAAGCTTAATGTTTGCTACATTATTTAGATACATTTTAAAATTTAATATTAAATTTATTAAAGCCACAAGTCAAAAATTTAATTCTTCATATAAACTTGTAAGTTGAATTAGCAGACCTTATTATTCCCTGCAAATAATTTTTAAAATATTAAATATTACAGATCCAGTATATTCCTCCCTGCACCCATCCCCCATTTTATTTGCCAGAGATAACTACAATTCTAAATTTGCTGTTTATCACTTCAATGAAGAAATATTATTTGTTTTAATATTATTCAATGTTATTTATTTCCTTCGTGGCCTAAGAACCCAATTGCCATGTTTTATTTTGTTACTCTGGTGGTGATGGAGGATACAAATCCTAGGATAATGTGAATGGTGATAGTATATGGACTGCTTTCCATATCCTAGGTTGGGTGGCTTAAGTGTATTATCTCCTTTAATCTTATCTGCCAGCTTGTAAGGAATTTATCCCCATTTTAGAGATGGGAATATTGAGGCTTAGAAGTTACGTAAGTTGCCTAACTAGTCCACATGACTAGTAAGGACTGGGTTTCAGACCCATGTTTGTCTGATTCCAAGCCTGTGGTTTAAATCATCTGTTCCCATCTTTCCAGGTGATTCTCTCTCTATATGTACATAATACATATTATTTTCTTATGAATATAGAATCATCATATCTTAATTTATGACTTGTTTTTTCACCTAAGCATATATGGTGAATATTTTTCAGTGGTAGAATTTTGGCTCTGGAATCAGTATCCTGGTTTGCCCACTTATTTAGTTATGTGCCCTTGCCTAGTTATGTAGCCTCTCTGGGCTTTAAAGTGGAGATAATAATGCCTACCACATAGGGTTGTTATGATGTTGCAGTGCCTGGCATATACTAAGGCCTCAATGTATTTTAGCTACATACTGTACTTACAAATTAAATTTAAGAAAATGATCTGTCCAGTGTTATTCCTCTTGTTTAAACTTGATCAAGCATTGTTAAAATAGTATAGTTTAAGTCCATTTGAGCCAACAACATTTATTGAACGTTTACTACCTGCCAGGTCCTATGCCAGATACTGGGGATACAGAAATAAATAAACCTAATTCTTTATGTCAGGAGGGTTAAAGGGAGATAGTCTAATCATTATTTTCTGCTAAAGGAAAAAAGATTTATTTGTAGAATTCTTCAGTGAACCACAATATTTGGCTTTAAAAATTTTCCATTATTACATTAAATTCTCCAAGTGTTTTTGTATCTATCCTTAATTCTCCTTAAAATGAAGCATCTAGGGCAGAACAGCCATGAGTAGATTCTCTCCATCATGTAAACCTTGACATCACCTAGCTTCTACATCTCTTATCATGCCTCTCTCCAAAACATGAACAAAGAAAATACAAAACATAAAATATAGGGCCGGCCCCGTGGCTCACTTAGGAGAGTGCGGTGCTGATAGCGCCAAGGCTGCGGGTTTGGATCCTATATAGGGATGGCCGGTGTGCTCACTGGCTGAGCTTGGTGCAGACGACACTGAGCCAGGGATTACGATCCCCTTACGGGTCAAAAAAAAAAAAAAAACCCAAAACACATAAAATATAAGAAAAGACACAGGAGGGACCAAAAAATAGGTATGTATGGCTTCAGATTACTGGAGATTACTATATTTCAACAAGTGATGTCTTTCAAATAGTGAGAGTTATTTCTCTGTTAAAGAAACTTTTTTTTTTTTCATTTAATGCTAATGCTGCATTCCTAAGTCTATAGTTTTCCTGTCCCTCTTCATTAATATCCTGTTTTGGAGCCTTAAAGGGAACAGATTTCACAAAGCCCCTCTTTGTCCAGCTTTTAGTTCACATTTCAAAATAAAAGTAAGGAAAAAATAAAAATTCTAGACTTTAAATGTAACATTTCCTGCACAGAAATATGTCTGAATGTTTTTGAGATGGTAATGAGAACCACAGAGGGTAACTGTATTTGAATTTTCAGTGATAGTGTTTGTTTCAATTAATTGATGTTTGCTACATTTACTTGCTTGGAAAAGGTCATAATCTATTATGTGGGGTTGTTGGGGAACAAGTGGCAAAAATTACTGTGATCCCATCTTTGTAAGATAATATAGTAATGGAAAGAAAGTCTAGAGGAAAATCACTGAAGTGTCGAAAGTGTTTCTTTTCTTGTGTGATCATAGGTAATTTTTTGTTGGTATATATTTGCATTTTCTACTTGTGAATGAAAAGAAACCAAACTCGGGCCGGCCCGGTGGCGCACTGGATAGTGCGCTGCTTGGGAAGCGCGGCGGCGCTCCCGTCCGAGGGTTCGGATCCCACATACAGACCGGCTCCCACTCACTGGCTGAGCGAGGCGCGGGAGCAACACTGAGGCTTGCGATCCCGTTGCCGGTCCCCGGTCCGGTACGGGGGCAACACTGAGGGTTGTGATCCGTTGCCGGACACGGAAAAAAAAAGACAAAAAAAAAAAGAAAAGAAACCAAACTCAAGCAAAAAAGATACTTTTCACTTTTACTACTGTTACGGATAAATAGGTAATATTTACTCAGTGCTTTACTTATAAAATCGTCAACTCCCCTCAACAACTTTACATAGTCAATTCTGTCATCTCCATTTTAGAGATGGAGAAACCAAGACCAAGAGAGGTTGTCTGACTTCCTTCGCCAGTGTCATTTGGCTACAGAGCAAGATCTCAAAAGTAGATGTAGTTTTCTCTAGAGTCTGTGTTTTTGTTGTATAGTAAGAAAGTAAAAAAGCAATTTTGGCAAAATAAACCATTTTTTCCTCTGCAGTTAAAGTATAAATTTTTGAAAGCACTTGAATTAAAAAAAAGCATTAGCTCTCTTAACATGGACAGTTGATGAGTGATGCCCCTAGCTTCTGTGCTTTGATGGTGCTGGTAGTTAGTAAGGGTAAACTAGTTAATATTGTGCAATAGTTATTAACCAGTGGGATATGCTTGTAAGGTGCATGCCTGAGGGAAGAACAAAGGACAGACGTTACCTCTGCTACAGGGCCAGCAGCCGCCGTGCTTCATGATTCTGGAGAGGAGTGAAGCTGGAATTCCCCCACACATGGCCCTCGAATGAGATTCTGTGGGTTGCCTGCCGTCTTTTCCTTGTCCCTGTGTGTTTTCTGGGAAGGAAATGTCCCCACTCAGCCTTTCATCATTCAATGAATGTTTACTGAGAACCTATTATGGTCAGTCATTGTGCTACTGTTGGAGCAAAGCAGATAAAAAATCAAACATGGTCTCTGCTTCTACTGGGCTTCATCACTATGTGAATATTCATGTCCGTCCTCACTTTCCTGAAATCAAAAAGCCTCATTTCTTGGGTGTTTATACTTGCCTAGTCCAGGTACCAAGGAAGAAACAGTGTGAATTGGTTTAGCCATTTGACTTTTAAAATTATACACATACTTATTTGAGTTGAGTGGTTGATGGAAATTGCTCAGTGAACCTAGACTGACATTGATGTCCTGATTTATGCAAATGGATACCATTATGGATCCCAAGGACACGGTTGAATGGCCACCTGCACTTCAGAGAGGGAAGCCGGAGAAAGAGGCACCAGCCCCATTTCACCTTGCAAGAATTCCACTGCTTCCTTTTGCTGGTCGTGATCTCCACTTTGTAGACTCTTTTTAGTTGATTCCTAGATCACTTTCCATATTAGATTTTTTCAAAGAACATTTATAAGCACACACGTATACTGCTATGGTGCTGAGAATGCTTTGTGTATTTATACATATATCCTCAACACATTCCCGTGGACTAGGCAGAAGGGAAAAAACAAAACAAAACACTCATCTTTCCCTGATGATGAAGAGATTTCCTCGGGCTTATGTGGGAAGTCAGGGTCAGAACCTGCCACTGAATCTCCTGACTTAATTAAACATTTTTTCTCTGGTCGCTGTTAATAATCCTAATTACTGAGTATGGCAGAAGTAATATAGAAGGACAGACGGGAAGAGATCCACCACTGCCACAAACTTACATTGTCTTCTCTGTAACCCCAACAGGGAGGTATCTCCTGCCGAACCCGGCGTCTGGGCAGGCCTGGCCGGCCTCCGCCGAGACCTCCAACCTCGTGCGCATGCGCAGCCAGGCCCTGGGCCAGTCGGCGCCGTCTCTCACGGCCCCCCTGGTAAGTGTCCGCAGGAGGGTCGGGGTTTGCTGTAGCTTGCCGCGTCCTCAGGGACTATTTATGTTTATCGAGTTTAACTGGATTTGAAATTAACCACATGAAACCTTGAGTACAGATTTGGCATTATGAAATTTCCTTGCTGTCAGTTTGCTAATTTCCATCCTCCCCCCCCTCAAATTTGGAGTATTTCTCTCAATTGGGCTCCATCTGCATCCTTCTGCCAAAAGAATTGAAAATGCTTCTAGGCTTTTTTTGCTTAAAACTTTTTAATCGGAATTAATTTTAAACACGGAAAAGTTGCAAAAATAAGAAAAATACATCGAACACCAGTTTGTTTATCTAGGTTGGACTAATTAATATCTTGCCCAATTTGCTTTATCATTTGCTCTGTGTGCGTGTGTGTGTGTGTGTGTGTGTGTGAGGGAGGGAGGGAGAGAGAGAGAGAGAGTGAGAGAGAGAGAATATGTATGTGTATGTATGTGTGTGTATATGTCCTTGAACACATATATAATTTTTGGAATTATTTGGGAGTAAATTGTATCTATACTGTAGCCCTTTGTTATCAGTTATCCACTTGAGTAAATTTATGGCTGTTACAATTCTGTTGCCTACTCTGCCGTCTGTATTTCAGTTTTATCAATTGACTCGGTAACGTCCTTTATAGCATTTTTTCCTCTTCCAGTGAAGGATCCAGTCTAGGGTCGTGCATTGCATTTAACTGTCCATCTCCTTTAATCTGGAATGTTTCCTTTAATCTGGAACATTTCCACAGTCTTTTGTTGTCTTTATGACATTGACATTTTTGAAGAATTTTTTTAATGGAATATTTTTTGAAGGGATGTTTCTTGTATTTGTCTGCTGCTTCCCCTTGGTGAGATTCAGATTTTTGCATTCCAAGCAAGAATATGGCTTTGGTGATATTGCATCCTCTCAGGTCTGAAGGCTTATGATGTCCATCTCTTCCCCCTCCCTGCGATGTTAATTTTGATCATCCAGTCAATTGTTGACCAATTTTTCTACTACAGTTACCACATTTTTTCTTGCAGTCTGTGGGGATATACTTACAGGCCATGCGAACATACTTCTCATCAAAAATTTCCCCCAGATTTAGCGCCCATTGGTGATTCTTGACTGGACCATTCTTTTCTATGATGATTGAAAATGGTGATTTTTCCAACTCCAGCACTTTCCACATTTACCAGTTGGCACATGGCACAAATATTTGTGGTTTTTTTTTTTTTTTTTTTTTTTTTTTTTTTTTTTTAGCAGCGTGGACCTCTTCTACATTCCTATTTTTTCCCTTATAATAACCCTTTATTTTTAACCATGATGCTCATTCGTTTTTTTTTTTTTTGCTAGTGGATTCTCTACTTCTCTGCTTTAACTTTTGGCTCAGCTTAGACATCTATACAAGTTACTTTTGCATTGATGGAAGGGTTGTATGGTATAGAACTAGATTTTAAACATCTTTTATTGATGAAGATGTTAGCAAATAATATATAAATTAGTGTGTTATGCTGTCTTATAGTTTTATGCATTGACGATAAATTGTGTTGGGTATTTGGGAAACACAGAATAACGCACAGAGATTCGATTAAGGTCTAGCCTCTAGTCCTGGTTTTGCCATTAAGTAGCTGTATAAACTTGGGTAAGTCACTTAGTTTCTCAAATGTTATCATCTCATGTGCAACTGCAAGATGAAAAGAAGTATTAACCAACCAGTCTATGAAATTCCTTTCAAATCTGGAATTTCCTGATTCTACATTTAGAATTATTAAGATCCTGAATGTGTGGAATAATTATCTCTAAAGAATTTTGCTTTGGGATATTTTGTGACTTCAAAATTGACTGTTATCCTTAAAACCAAAATTCATCTTTTTCCTCTCATGAAAATATGGGAACTTATTTTTAAAGATACATTTAAGGTGATGGTAGATAGCATTTTCCTCCATCCCATCCCACGTTCAAAGTGACTTTTTCTCTTTGGGGAATTTTATTAAAAGCTTATTTTACTCTAAGCATTTACTTTTTAAAGAAAGAGGAAAATACATCACAACTTGTGATTACTTTTTTGACGGAAGTGCTTTTTCAGCCATTTTCAGTAATTATTCTTAACACTTATATAGTAATCCTATATGTTTATTGCCAAGTAATCATTTTGATTAAAACAACACTTTCATGAAGTAATTTATGTTATTACCTAAAACTGGTAGTCACATACTCAGATTCAGAAACTGATTTATTCATTGATAAAATGCATGTTAGGTGATCTAAGATATTTGGGAATAGGATACAAAAATAAGGAGAACCATGAATAGAAAACATGAGAAGAGTACTGAATCTGTCAGGTGATATTCTTATCAAAGAATCACTTCAATTATTAGCTTATCTACCTGCAGGTTTTTAATGTTTATGTTGTTTGCTTCAGATCAAAACTGGAGAAAATGTGGAAATACCACGTCGAGTAAACTTAAAATAGCTCCTGGCATATAACAAGTCTCAAATGTTAGCAAGATTACTGCTTCTAATGTTATCGGCATATCATGGCTAAGTTTGGGCATAGTAGCCAGAATGTGATTAGCCACTTACTGCTATATAGTGAAGGTTTAAAACTTAACCCTGATCATATCTCTCCCTTCATTGGTTCCTAATGTAGCCTATGGAAAACTGTTTGTCTCCCACCTTCTGTTGTATTAGGAGCAGCAGCAGCCGGAGGCACACAATCAGCCAGGGCACCATCTTGATCTTATTGTGCTGTGATGTGCCCGATTTCTATGCCATATCACTTCTTTCAATATGTCACTCAAGTACACGCTAATAACTTTTCCTGCTTTTGGTACCCAGTGTAGGACTATTCATGTAAAGGCATATTAAAGTTAATCTGTTTCACTTTTCTGCCATCTTTGGATTGGATGATATCTAAATTATCTCAGCTGATTACAACAAACAGCATACACCTTTTAGAACTTTTTCTTTTTTCTTCATTTTTTGCGTTGTCTTTTCCTTGTCTTCCAAACAAGCTGATATTTGCGGAGGTGCATTGTACAATGGAACATGCCTTATTCTGGATCCTCTCCTCCTGGCCTCTGTCCCTACACACTGCTCCTGTCTGAGAGCTGTAAGTCATCCTTCCCCTGACTCCTCTTAGCAATTATCATGGTTCACGTTTGTTCTTGTTCTTTATGTTTATGCCTGATATCGCCCGGCGAGACTGCAAGCTCTTTGAGGGCAGAATTCTGTTTTGATTTGATTTGCTACTGCTCACTGCTATTAGCACAATGCCTTGCATGTAGAAGACATCCAATAAATAATGTTGAAGGAATGAGTAATTATTCATGGGAAAGTGACAGGCTCTGTTAGTTGCACGGTGAGAGTGATGATGTCATTCTGCATGCTGTAATGGGTAGCCTGATAGGACCATCCATCTAAAACCTCTATGGTTTTGCTTTTCAATGTGCATCTTACAACTGTGATTAGCTTTAAAGCCCATGTAATAGGCCAAATCCCATTTGTTTCCACATCAGCTGCTCAAAGAAATACATTGACAAAATTGTGATGAGATTATTAGTGTCCACATTCTAGGAAATTTCATTCATCTGCATTTAAGCAGTCATGTAGTCACATTGCTTTAAATATTTTGTTGATTCATTGAATAACTAAGTTGAAGTGATATGTGTGTTCAAGTGTGAAAGAATTAGAAAAATAAGGAATCTAAGTGGTTTGTGTCCAAATTGTAGCTTTACACTTGATATAACAGAATTCCATGCTCAATTGCAATGTCATACATTTCAGAAATGTAGAGACCCTGAACCTGAGGGGTATTAATATGTTAGTAAGATATAAATGAAGGCCATGTGGTTTGGTGGGTATGAATTTTAGTAAATGTATGACCTATAGTGATTTAAATGCCATAGGCAAGCTTGAAGGTAATGCTAACTACTTTCTAAAGGAGGAGATTAATTCCTAGCCCGAAGTATCTAGTTTTCCTTGGCAATGCTAAATGTAGTTGTATTCCCTCTCCCAGACACATTGGGCATTTCAGATAAATGGCATGTTGCCAATTCATCCTAAGTGGCCTGGTGGCTGGCAGAATACATGCTCAGCCAGTGTCCGCCTGCTGGGATACCAGCCGGGAGTGCTGATGAAGTGTCAGATGTATACTTTATATACATTAATCTGGAGAGGGGGAAACTCATTTTCCCATTTGCTTCTTCCATCTATTTGTCCCTCCACACACATGGGTACTTTATCAAAGAAGTCATAGTCGTCAAAAGCAGGGAGATTTATACAGATACTGCTTTCTGGCAAGAAAGATGGAAATTTCAGGAGGCAAAAGCAGGACCAGTGGTAACTTACTTCTTTGTAGGAAAATAAGGTTGTAGGCCTTGATGACTGAAGTTTAGACATGGCATATGTGGCCATCATAAGAAATGTTCACTACTTTTATACTTTGGAGTAATGGATGGCAGAAGCACCATGAAAATTTGTTTCCTGTATTTTTCTCCAATTTTCTGTTTGATTTGAATCATGTGCCTCATCTGTTTTGTTTGTGCGAAGGTCCCGTTCACATTCTTTTTACTGAGGTCTTCCTTGACCATCCTGTTTGAAACTGTCCCCTATATAGCTTGCCACACATCCTACCTTTTCATTCATTTTTCTCCATAGCTTTATCACAGTATACTACATCATTTCCTTATTTTATTTATATATCTCTTACTACTATAATGTAAGTGTAATGAGGGTGGAGACATTTTTTCTGTTTTCTCAGCTATTTCTCCAGTGCCTAGAATACTGCCTGGCACATAGTAGGTGCTCAATGAACTTGTTGAATGCATAAATGTATATATTTCCTTTCTGTGCATTTTCATTGCTCTAGAACTGTCTCTTGTATATCTTTTATTTTTTATCTGTGACAAATTTATTTTGGTTTGTATTGTGTAGCCTAACCAAGAAGCTATTCTTCAAGCCAGAGAGAAGTTAACTATGGAAACCATATTCAG